TTCAGTGTCCAAAAAGGTACTTTTTATAGACTTTATTACAGTCATTGTTACACCTCCTTAAAGTCCCCTGAGACAAATGAGAGTGTAATCATCATGCTAAAAAAAAAAACACACACAATGAACAAGTCATATATCTTTCAAATACTGCCATATCGAAAACAGAAAACACACTGGACGCTGCACTAGGTCAGAAACCAGAGGAGACTGTGAAGTCCACCGTAGACGGACCACTTTTGGACAAAATGTCCTCTCCATTAAAGGCAGCTCATTGTGGAATAGCCTCCCAACTGAGATACGGGATTGTCCCACTCTCAATAGTTTTAAAGGGTATCTACTCTTGCACTTTATGTAGCACTTTTATCTTATCTTGCAGTTTATAGCTGCTACATTGTACTGCCATGTGGTAAATGCTTGTATGCTGCTCATGCTCTTTCTGCATGTCATGTATTTATTTTTGCTATGTATATAAATATCATGTTCTTGTATGTGAGGGGACTGCGGATGGAAATGAGCTTAAAGCTAAAATCCGGCTCATTTACGCTTGTAAGCATTGTTTTGTTTTAAAGTGTTCATCGATGTGCACTGTCCCGGTTCAAATAAACGATTAAATGAAATGAAATATCGATATCATAAATTCTTATTCCCATTATAATTGTGAAGTAAATATCTGTTATTGTGACAGCCCTAATTATCCATCACGAAAGGCGAACTGATTTTTGAACATCTGTTCAAATTATGATCACAGTTAAACTCCATTATCACCGGACCATCATTGTGACGGATTGTTTTTCTCCTTCAGCAACTTCCAGCCAAACGATACTTATACATAAAGCACTGCCTGTGCAATAACGTCTCAATATGACTTCTGAAATTGAATTTTCCCAGGCCACATAAGTCTAATATCCTCCCAGCTAATGACAATTGAGATGACTAAATTGCTTTCAATCGGCTGCAGGTGTGCTGAAAAGTCAATAGCCATTATGTGTTTGGGCTCAGAGACCAAGAGGACTTCATACAAAATGAACCGGATTGATCTTTTTCAGGAGGGGATAGAAAGAACTATATCTGCATCTTTCTATCGCAGTCTCCAGGAAAGCTGAACAATATAAACTTCTCAGAGGCAGTATCGATGTGGGAATACGAAAGACGTAACATTATTCTGTCCTTTTTGTAAAAGTTGATTTCAGATCTTTATTGTCCCACAGGCAGACATAAAATATAATACATACAAATATAATAAAACCCAATAATCTTTTTACGATACATGCAGAATGCAATTAAATGTTTATGTTATAAAACCATAACAATAACAGCAAATACAATAAATTGCAAAGGTGTGCAAAAAAACTGGACTAGAATTGTTAAAGGAAGGCTGCTCCAGTGAAATGTATGTATGCCTTGCTCAGAATTCTTTATTTCATCTTTATGTTATGAATTGTGCAACAACAAACAGCTGACTTGAAAAAGGCTCATGAAAACAGTGAACAGTTTCCAGTCTTACAATGTGTAGTCATGCTAGACAGTTCTGAAAACACTCTTTTGTTTTGTTCTTGTTTTTATTCTTTTGACATGAAAAGCATAACATGCTCACATTTGGATCCGGCAATTTGAAAAATGACAAACAAATCAAAATATTTGGAGATTCATGTTGTTATTGCTGCAGCTCTAAAAGTAAAAGAAATCCTAAATAAAGAATATAAATATAGTTCTACTCTAATAAGGACTTTCCTGCACGTTATTCATAGTCTGTCCCATCTTATGCTGCTTTGATTATACAGCTTTTCATTTTCTAGCGCAGCGATTGCTTAAACTTCTTACAACCGAGCAGAATTATAAAACAGATGGCTTGATAGGAAGTCAAGGTCCTGAGGTCAGAGTTTGGGAGGAAGGAGAAATATATGTATGCACCATAAATCCGTTCTTGCTTTCAGCACAACCTATAGAGAGGTTTCCAATGTCCCTGTTCAACAAAGATGCTGGGATCAAAAAGTGGAGCTGAATTAATGTGTTTCCTAAAGGTTTTTCAGAAGCTCCTGGAAGAGAGAGACGAGGCTGAGATCTGTATGCGGCTGCTGAAAAGTATTTTCAAGTGTGGATTTGTATTGAATTCACTTTGAATGACCGTGACAGTGGTGAAACTCAAACAAAACTGTTGAACCTGGGTTGGTTGCCAATGAGAAAATAAAGACAGCCAAAAGAAAAGAGGACAAAGGCACAGATGAGTGAAGTGATATGAACAAAGAAAATGGCAGAAAAAAAGACAAAGAAAACGGCAAGAGAAGAGATACAAAAAAGAAGAAAATTACAGTGGTGGCACTATGGGCACAGTATGGTGTCTGAGTCATTACATCCAGTCTACAGAAACTTCTGCAGCTACTAATAAGGATCTCTTGTGTCTTCACACACAACAGAGCATTAAATGGGACAATCTGGAAGCTGCCTAAAGCGTGCAATCAATTCACTAAAGAGCGAGACAATACCCTCCCTAAAATGGGTTTGGGAGTTTACAAAGTTGGCCTCCAGGTTTTAATCTGGCAGCTAAAACAGGACAACAAACACTGAGGTTTTTGGGATGAGGTAAAACGGTCTTCATTAAAATGCATCAAAAAGATGCTGTTACACAAGAGAATCTCAACTACTGCAGGCCTTTTGGTATATAGGAGACAGTCAAAAGAGAATTTTTACTTTGAACTATTTTCTAGCTTCAATTCATCTTTGAAAAATAGATTGAAGCGAGTGGTTTGACTGAACAGGAGCAACAGTTTTCTGCTACGGGTCCAAGGTTTGGTGTGAAAGAAAACAAAGATTTTGGTTTGACGTGAAAATGTTGAAACACTGTCATTCTACTCTGATGTAGTTTTTCAATCATTGTATGGTTTATTTTCAGGTTTTATGTGTTCATTGACCCAGCGTTCGGGATGCTGATGTTAGTCTGTCTGTCCAAAGCCTAAGAGCCTAGCTTCACCATAACGGCAACATTTTTATTCGTATACAAATAGTATTTATATATATTTGAGTGCCATAAAATAGCGATACAACAATTCAACATATTCTTCCATGTGATATTCCTCTGTGGGACGAATAAAGGTAATCTGATTCTGATATCCATTTAGATACATCAACACAGTGTTTTTGCGATTAGACATCACAGATCTGATATCAGTGCTCTCCTATTTCCGAATTTTGAAATCCACAAACCTCACCATGTAGAACTCAAGAGTGTACAAGGTTTCATGAAAATCAATCCAAAAGTTGATGTGAAATATAAGTCTGGACCAAGGTGGTGGACCAACATTTGTTCAGCACCTGGTTTTTACTCTAAAGTTCACAATTTTAAGCCTTTTAAATAAACACAACCATCACAAGGCTTAATCTCAAACCTCTGTGAAAAACTGAAATCAAACTCTCTGCTTTGGTGCTCCAGACAAAGCAATTTTATCCTTAAGTCTTTGTTGGATCCATTATTGCACCGACTGAATTCACGCTGTTTCACGCAGCTGTAGACATAAAATCCTTGACATCAGTAGTGCCGGAGGCAAAATACAGCTTAGCATGGATAACTGATGGTCATGTCAGGAAAGATGGATGAGGCTTCAGAAGGAGATGGTGTATGGGAGTCAGGCAGGTTACATGCAGCAGATGTATGGAAAACAAGTGTGGGAAAAATACCTTGAATGAATGTATATGATTTCAGTTTGGATCAGCTGTTTTAATACACACGTGTATTGTCAATTGTGTTAAAATGCGCACTTGGCTTTACAGTTACGATGTGTAAGACATGTCAGAAACTTTATTAAATTATCAACCGTATGTGAAGAGGGTCCAGTGTTGACTGTTGTCTATATATTGTGGTATGTGGGATAGTTATTAAAATTAGCAGGTTCATTTAGTAGTCCCAGCCCATCAATGTTTATTCCATGATTGCTGCAAGTTTTGGTATTTTGGTTTGAATTCATCTCAAGTGGCAGAAACAAGTAAACAACTTGCACCCTAGCCTCATCCTGACCATCAGCTGGAGGGTTGTTCAGTTTCAGGTTAAGTAATATATTGGTACCCCTACGTAGATTTGGTTTGCAGATATAAGACACGGGATCCATTATGACACACATTTTTAAACAACACAGACAACAGACACATCTCTAAAAAAGTATCCCCTGCTCCGTCACACCTAAAAAACTCTGGCGTGAGAAAGGTCACAGCACACTATCACCCCGCAGTGACACACTTCCCTCTATGTCGGCAAAAGTAAAAACACAAGTCATTCCCTCATCTCTTATCACATTGGACGCAAGCCAATACAAATTACCAAACCATAAAGATACATGGACCATACATCCCCCAGTGCCACAGTCAACACACACATGGCTTAGCTCCATGTGGAGATTATAAAATAGAATCTATAATATAATTAGCTCTCAGAGTTTCCGCAGCTGTGTGAAATGAATTGACAGGCAGGCCAGATTAGACAGGAGTGAAAACTATAGGCCTACATTAAATATATGAACAAAATATATTTATGTATAGATTCAGTATACAATAAAAGGTGTAAAGAATATATTAGAACAGTCCAAAACGTTCACACAATGAACATATCAAACAACTACCAAGCTATTGTTGGTTTTAATAATACCTGATCATTCTGACCATTAGATTGTATTGCCCCAGTAAAACACTGCCCCCTATATCTTTGCAGCAGGTGGATCGAAACTACACTTCATACCATCTTTTGTAGTTAATTTATCACATTTACTCCAAACGTGATATTGCTTGCATTGCATTCACAGCAGCCAGTTTTACGCACGGTGTGTGTGTATGTTTTTCTCCAGCGGTTAAAAGCAGCATAGTAAAGCTGCAGCATTATTTGGTGTGTGTGGAGGAGTTGTAGGAAGCGCATTGGACGGTGGGGAATGGTCACATGACACTGTCAGCATGTTCGATTTAAAAGAAAGGGAAGGAGAGCTTCGAGCTTCAGATGCGGGCAGATACGTGCGGAGGATCTACCTGAACTCACATCTCCTCTGTGCTGCCTCCAGCAGGCTGCTGAACAGGGACACATCCGCTTTTAAACAAACCAACAACCTAAATAAAAAACGCTATTCCACCAATGCGACAATTAGAAATTCCCTCCCTTCAGCTTTTTCTAAATTAAAACCCCTCCCGTACCATTTGTGGCGTTTATCATCCAGAGCACCATCAAGGAAGCCGTCCAGAACGAGCTCCTCTCATAATTCTCCGAAAAAGGTAAGAGAAAATAACTTTCAAAAGGAATCATTTAGTCATAATTGTGTTTGCCCTGTGAGAGTAATCTCGCGATGTTCCGCGTGGTCGAAAGCAATCGCACAACTGGACAAGTGTTAATTTTGTATTGAAATATATAATCAATAAATCTCATACGTACTTTGGGTGAGCATGTGCACCTGACAAAGGAGATAACAGAAAACTGCGTCAACAGTACATGTATCAAAACAATTATGCAAATTGCTTGCAAAGGAATTGTATTGATGACTTTGGGTAATAGGACTACTTTAACTACAGCAACCTAATTAACCATTTGATGTGTGATCAGCCTGTGCCAGGAAATGCTTAATCCCCATTTCCAATTAACAATCCAGACATAATGTATTAAATATAGGAACATGCTTTGATTTTAATCGATTTAACATGCAGAGACAATGCTGATTAAAGCACCAAGTTGTCTTTTTTCTTTGCTGTATTTGACTGCAGTAGTTCTCTATGGCAGCAGTGTGTCCAAAACTCGGATCATTGCAAATAATCTTATAAATACATCACAGAGCATTCTTTATATTCTTTTTCCTACATGTGAGTGCTTCTGGTTTGAATCCTTTCTTTGGAGGAATCAGAGCAGGGAAATGTGATGGAGAATTTGCCATCAGATTGTAGTGTCTCTGAGCAAGGCATATGACAGCTGGTGGCAGGATGTTGTAGTGCTTGGGGGCTCCTGTGTGAATAGTTTTAAGTGATCGACTGTCATGCGTATAATTAGATTATTATTATGTCAGACTTTCAGTAGAGGGATGTGAAATGATGACATGGAGATGTTTCATCCCTTCATACATGCAGCAGCAGGCTACAGCGGATATTTGAAATGTTTCCTGGCTGCTGGTTTGTCCCATCAGAAAATAAATAATAGTGTGTCTGTCTGCATCCTGATGGCTACCAGCACAGTCAGAGGTCCAACCTCTGGTCCTCGGTGTCCTGGAGGCCCTGCAGGGTGCAGACACTAACATGACCTTACTGCACACTGGGTGTCCGCTCCATCACCTTTTACTGAATGTCCAAACATGCTCTCCTGTTCTTGTGTGAATGTGACAGACATTGTACAGCACCATAGCCATGTACTCTCTCCTTAGTTCAAGGTTATGATCTATTACCTTTTTATATGCTGAAGTTGTTTTATCAATAGTAAATTATTAAGAGAACCACCTTTTGACACAAAAGCAAAAGATGTTAAGACTTTGATATATGTAATCTCTGGTCAACACAACAGAATAATGATAGCCAAATATCAGAAGAATTATATTAATTTACATCTATAAAAAAAGGATGCCAATGGAGGAGTTTGTAACTACCAACACGTATCTTTACATGAATCACACTTATTATGTTGCACTTATTGGGTGAACCAAACAAGAAGAAGCACAATATGGATTTAATTAATCAAACTCGAACCTTTTTGCTTAAATAAAAGCTTTTGTTAATGTTGCAGCAGATACGCTGTTGCTCCTCTATTGACATGTCTTTAATGTAAGGGGATAATGTGTTTCGAGTAATCCTAACAACTTTCAGTGTACAGTTCCTCTTGATCAGGCATTATTCAACTTTCACCTTCGGGACTCTTTACACACTTATACACTTTTGTTCTGTAAAGTGGAGCCTCCAGTCAAGCTTTTTTATGTAACATTATCCTATGAAATAGAAATATTTGATGACACCCGGCCAAGAATAGCTAACACTCGTTCCTTTATTTAAAGTATCATAATCCTGTAACTCTTAGAGAAATAATAAATTACATTTAATCATACATTTAATCAAAGCTGTTATTTATATTTATTCTTTAAAGTGGGCAGTGATAAAATAAACAAACACATGACTCACAGTGAGACTGGGTTGCAACCATTCTGTGTGAGGAGAAAGACTCAAAGACGCGGCTGTCAATACATTTCCTTTTTGAAAGCTGTTGGAGGACATTGCCCCCTAACCATGCTCTGACATTTAAACATTACACACATTAGCTGGTTAAGTATGCAAATTGATAACAATCAAATGTAAGACTCTCAGAATCCTTCTCTTAGGCACCTTTTGGTCTGATTTTGATGAATCATGGCAGAATGGTGCATGTTTCTTCAGGTTATACTGATTATAAATAAAGGATACCACATTTATCTTTTTAGCCTTTTACCAGTTATTTTATAATCTTCATGATGGCTCATTAAACCCAAAACATGACCGAAATATATGGTGGTTTACAGATGCAAATGGCCCAAAACTTTTGCATAAGGAAAACCGCGCTGCATGTTCAAAAACCATGCAAATATTATACACAAATGTACCCAAACACATGCAAATGAAGAAATATCTTCACCAACCTGACAACACATGCATTGAGAATAAATTCCCCAACCTGAACAAACGTGCACAGTCTTTACTGAAAGAGCTGCGAATAAAACAAATTCCGCAAATACAAAACACTGTGAATAAAAAAAGTCACACAACGGAAACGAGAACACTAAAAAGTGATGCACCCAGCTGGGACTGGCACGCTTGTTGACGTTCGGGGATTATAACGTTGAAAGTGCAGCGTGTCTCTCGCAAAGGAAATGTTTTTTGGCCGTTGTAGTGCGTTTGCACCTGTTGGCCACCGTAGGAGATATGCCCAATCGAACAGATTTTTTTATATGCAGCAATGTCATCAACAATCATAACAAAGTGCACACTGCGGTTTTCTTCTTTTTCCACATCTCTTTGTCTTCACTTATCAACTATAGCCTCATTTACAAATCAGTTAAATCCTGTTTTTATATTAAAGAACAAAAAAACTAAAATGTAGTGATTTCATGCATCGAAATGTAACCTTCACTTGTGAGAATACTTATTTTTTAGTACTTTAGGTATAGCTGACCTTCCTTAGTGCCAAGCTATTGTTGTGTTGTAGTATGAGCATTTGGCTGTTGGAGCCTTATTGTTCTAAGAAGTCTATTTATGGGTGGCCTAAGGCCATCATCTCTGTGTTTTGCCATCGTTGGAGGATACAAAAATAGTTTATATTAGAAAGACGAATCACTGTTTACCTAACAGATTAATGAGCTCTCCTGTTGACTCCCTCGAAAGACTCTCCTGATGCTGTATTGAAGGAAGATCGATGCCACTGTTGCACAACAGGAATCTATTGATTCACAGCACTCTGTTACTCACAGTTATCAATGTGAACAGTCCAGTTTATAGCTCTCCTGCCACATGTATGTTATATAGGGTACAGACAAATGGCCTGTCTTCTACCTCAGAAAAAGCCTCTGTGCAAGGACTAAAGCTACTGACAGACTGAGACAAATGTGCAAGGATTCTGTTTCCTCACTGACTGACAGTTTTTAACAATACAAATCAATTTTTTTCTTACCCAAATGTAATGCAGTTTTGAAGATGGTGGTGGATATTTCGCTCTGATCGTCTGGCACACAGCTCTGCAAAAAGCTATTTTTTTCTAAATTGTATTTAGATTGTTGGTCTCCACCGCTGACAACTTTAAATTGTGATGTATAGTTTGTTCATGCTATGTTGGCAAAGTGATGTTTTAGAAGGGGCATATAACATCAACCTTTATCCATGTTTATAACAAGGGTTGGGAGGGTTACTTTGTAAATGTAATCAGTTACTGATTACTGATTACATGGCTCTGAAAGTAATCCGAATACAGTTACAGTTACGTGTCTTAAAAAAGTAACGTAATCCGATTACTTTTAGATTATTTTTGGATTACTTTCTTTTTCCATCACAGATGGGTATGTTTTGGTGTAGGCTACAGGAGACACAAAAAGCAAAAGGAAACTGAACGTGTTTTTTACTGTTTTAATGGCTTATCAAGAGCACAACTGAAACATAACATCTGAAACGATGCAACAACATAATACACTTTTTGGGGATGCAGCTTGGGATGTGAGGAGTGAGGGACACGGCTTAGAACGGGCGTGTTGCCTTCTGTCCTGCCAGTGTTGGCAGGACATGAATTAAAATGTCGAACTCGGACTTCATTTTAAGGACATTTCGGCCAGGGGTGTAGAGCTATATTTGTTTAAGCACCGGATTGGCACTTCATGAAATCCCTGCAGCACAAGGAGGCAGCGGGAGGGTTAACTCAGCCTCTGAGAAGAGGAGCGTGCACCGCCTTTCACGCACCGCCTTTCACGCACCGCCTTCACGGTGTTTACCTTCAGAATCAAGGCTAAAGAGCGACCGCAGGCTGATGTGTTTTAACCACACACACCTCCACACACACACACACACACACGATTTAAACGCAGACTTTTGTTCCTCCATGTTTCGTTGTTATTGTTTCACTGAGCGGACCCGCACATTCTTTTCAAACGCTCCCTTTTTTGGTCCATCTGCGGTGGTAATAGGTTTTGTGCGCTGTGATGATTCGGCTGTACCTTTAGTAATGAATATTAAATGTTGTGAGGAAATCTTTCCACCAATAATTCCAATAAGTAATCCAAAATGTATTCACTTCAGGTTTACGAAAATAACTGTAATCAGATTACTCGTTTTTCAAATGTAACGCGAGCTGAATACAGTTACTTGCTTTTTGTATTCTGATTACGTAACGCCGTTACATGTATTCCGTTACAACCCAACCCTGGTTACAATGCATACATTTATTACTCATGGGACATAACAAGGAAAAGGATTACTGTAAAGCACAGCTGTGCCTTTGCTGATATGATTTGTGTTTATCTTTAACTTAAGTCCCATTCTCCTGTGTTCCATTTTGTTCTGCTTTTGTTTTATCATGGCAACTTAATCCTTATATTTAATCTCTTTTCCTTCTGAGCAATACAAACAATTCCATTATGATTTGCAGTGCAGATAATTTAACATATGAGAGGTGAAAGAAATCAGACTGTTCTTAATAATACATGTAAACCAGTAGAAATGCTGCAGTGCAATCTTTTCAAACATCCAGAACACCTTGTTCCACAGATTGGTGTCTACAATAATCGTACTTT